AGGCAGGAAGTTAGTGCGGAGAAATGAAGCAATGACAGAGAACTGCTGTGGTGCGAGGAAGAAATAAGAAGACGAAAGACGAATAGGAAATATAAGGATAAAGAGGCGGGAAGAACAGCAGTCAAGCAGCGTGTGGCGTGTGCAGAGGAGGAAGGCAACAAAACGAAGCAACGGAATGTGAATTATAAAACAAATCCTTCAACGTGAAATGAGCGGGAAGGTTAAGGATGACTGGTCAGGTCTGACAAAGGAAAGAGTGAAAGTGGTGGCGAGAGGAAAAGATATATATATATATATGATTTTATCCGATTCAGTCCCATCAATACCCGATCGACGGTCCACGTCTATATATGATATCTTAACATCTTTCAACACATGAAACTAACAAAAACTAACCAAACGCGTAAGTACATGTTAAACGGTAAACAAATTAAGTAGCCGTCTCCATCATGCTTCAGCAAGCGACGATCGGTCCTTCATGAAGCAAGTCAAGGCAGGGATGACTGAGTTTCATCTGAATTCCACTCGACAGTACATTTTTGCAAATCTTGTGCCCCGATGTAGGGATATAAAGGACGGCAAAGTCGAATGAAGCGAATGGTTGCTTTTGGAGAGAATATTGATGCCCAAACACAGCCAAGCTAATACGATGCGCTGTACAAGTTGTCTATTGAAGATTTCAAAATCAAAGCAGCCACCATGACGTTCTTCCAATTTTACGGCCAGCGCAGAACGCAGAGAAACCACAGAAACGTGAAAAAAAAATATACAAATAAACACGACTTTCCACACAAAAATTGCAGACACTGCTGCCTACTGTTAAACCGCATAGTAACATCCAAATCCAAACCTAAGACTTTCATCGAGAGTTTGAAAGATCACTACCATCTGAAGACCAGTCGAGATCTTCAACATGTCCAAAATGGAGAGCGAGAACGGGCCACTGAAAATTTCCACAAATTTAAGAAGTTATTTGTATGGTTTTGTCAGCTAAATGCTATATATAGGTAATTATATGTCGTTTTTACATAATGTTACTTCTCAACAGAATCTATCAATGTTTGAAAAGCGGAGCTGTCCAAACGTATTACATCTGAGTTGCACGATATAGCATTCGGATTTGACTTGAAATTTTGCTGACTGCTCTGCGTATCGGCGAAGTTCCACACTGAGGTAGATCGACAGTTTTAAGAATTTGAACGCGATTCACGACAGGTTGTACGCAGGGTGTGAAAATAGGCAGAGAATGGGTCAGGAGAACGGTAATTCGAGAGTGGAAAGAGAACTCAGTGTAAGTGGAAAACTACCTGTCTTTCAATCTGTGCGCACTGTTCAAATGAGCAGAATGTCCAACAAAGAGTAAAAGCACGTGATCATTGATATAAGCAGAAGAAACAAGGGTCCTTAGATGGAGAGTTCGAGTGATGAAGCTCAACAGAGATAGAAACAGCAATCCGCGGAATTTGAGGACTTATTAACCGTTCCTACACTACTAGGGTCATTTAACATCACATCAAAGATGTGCAAGAAAAGTTCTCATTGGCAAACCACATGACAAACTATCAACGGACAAACGAAGGACAGATGAATAAACGAATGTGGCTTGACCGTGTCTAAGAATTAAGTCAGTGCGAACCCATCAGCCTGCTTCTCCAATCAGCTCGTAAGGAATGATTAATTCCTGATTCCTTAGATAGGCGCTGCTACTAATCGCTGATTAATTATGCAGGAGTAACATCCTGACCGCAGTCATGTCTGCGTCTGTCCGCACTAGCCAGTGGGCGGTTTCAAAAATAGGAAGAGCTCGTGAAGAGGCTTCTGTTTTAGAAAAATCGGTGAGTGGTGTGTCCTTCAATCGTAACGATGCGTCGGTTTGAAATTACGTTTCATAAATTATTTAATGAAGCAAATGGATATTTTCATTTATTTAAATGAATTACGAATGCACGGGCATTATTTAATTTGGAGCTGGATTCGCAATGATTTTGCATTCCATGGTGCAAAACCATAACCGGGCGAGGTCAAACTGCTTCCTGTTTCGATGACACCGGATTCGTGA